TGTGTGTGTGTGTGTGTGTGTGTGTGTGTGTGTGTGTGTGTGTGTGTAGGGTGGGGGTAAAGTTCTGGTGCTTAAAGTCACAGTCAACCCAAATGGTGAAACTTTACCTGTGATCCCAGCAGGCACAATTTATCCCCCAGGGTCACGGAGTCCCCGAATGGCTACTGGTTCTTTCTCTTCAGGTGTCAAACATGAAAAGTGGGACCATAGCGGCTGAGGCCCTACTGGTCATGAGGACAGAGGCAGAGTCTGGAGCATGGAAGGAAGCGTTCTAACCCTGAGCTACATCTCCAACCCAAAGCAGTGCCGGCAAACAGAGCCCCCTTCTCTCGGAAATGACTGACCTGTATACTCAGGAGGCCTGGCTTATAAAGCTGTGGTCTGATAAAGCCAGAGGAGAGGGGAATGGGGGGAATGGGGGGGGGTGTAGGGCATTCTTTAACTTCCATATTCAGTTTCGAGTTTTAGACTGTAATCGCTTGTCTCTGATGAGTGTGGGACACACCCATGCTTGGGTGCCAGAGAAAGGAAGCTCGTGAGGTAGCAGTCTGAAAAAGTTGGCGTCAATACAGGCTCCCTAAAAGGCACCCACATGGTGGTGGGGGCTACTTCAAAGGCATTGCCCACTCCTTCAAATGTTGACAAGGGGCCACGGTCCAACACTGATCCTAACAACCTTCCGTGGCAGCAACTATGGAAAGTGGAGGGTGGGGGCAGCAGAAAGAAATCCAAAATCTTCTCTATAGACTCAGAAACAATTTTCAAACTCCGGGGCTTCTCGTGTAGGAGCGGAAAACCTCCCTAGGTGTGAAAGATCAGATTTAGGGCTCTTTATCAGCAAGTTCCCCAGGTGAGAAGCCTGTGTGCTTCCACCCCAGAGAGCTGTGAGTGTCAGGAGGGCTCAACCTTGGGTGACACCTGGAAGAACTGCGCATGCGTCTACAGAGGCCCGGCCCGCTCGCTGCAGGGACACTAAAGAATCCGGAGGCCGAGATCTTTCCACCTCTGCTCTCCCTTAGAAGAGTATGGGATGCCCCATCCTGGTATAGGATGGACAAGGCCCCTGCACTCTTCTTTGTCCTAACTCATGGCTCTGTAACATCTACACGGCTTTCTGGCACAACAGACCCGCAGACAGACAGACAGACAGATGACAGATGTCAGACGACCTCTGTACCTGCAGAAGGATCTTGTTGCCATCGTGGTCCTCAGTCTGCCAGCGCCCCTCGCTGATGGGGCTGCAGGGGTTGGGAAGGAGGGGCACCAGCTGCCCAATGTCCTTCACTCGGAACTCCAGCACGGAGGAGTCAGTGGGCACCGGGTTCTGGTCGCGGGGCAGTTTTTTCAAGGAGAACTGGATGTCCACATCCAGGTTGGAGAAGATGGGGAAGATGCAGAAGTCTGCTTTCCGCTGGCTGGGGCTCCGGCGTAGGATCAGCTCATAGAAACGGAGGCTGTCTGCATAGCTATCGTGGCGGCAGTAGATGGTGAAGCGCACAATCTCTTTGCCATAGTGCACCGGCCGGATGGCCCACAGAGGGGTCCCGGGAGCCAGAGTGAAGAAGTCCTGGCTGCAGGGCAGGTAGGGTAGGAAGCGGCCGTGCACACGTTCTGTGTGGTGATGGCGCCAGGGCGGCTGTTGCAGCACCCGGTGCACCTGCAGGATCTGCTCCTCTCCGTACTCTTCCTGCAGGAACAGCACCACAGCCAGCGCCGGCTGAGCACCCTTGGGGGACTTCCGTCTTCGCCTGCTTGTGCGCCGCTCAGACACCCGGAACAGTGGGAGGTCAGGGTGAACCCACGCCAAAACCTTGTCGATGGCCTCTTGCAGTGGCTGGGATGCCCCTGGATCTGCGATGATGTGGATGCTCACCAGGAAAGGGTCCTGTGTCTCCTCCACAGAAAGCTCACCTGGGAGCACACAGGAATGAATGAATGGATGAGTGGGTGGGTGGGCAGACAGATGGATGGACAGACAGATGGATGGGTGGGAAGATGGGTGGATAGGTGGGCCAATGGTTGAGTGGATGGATGGGTGGGTGGGTGGGTGGAAAAATGGGTGTGTGAGTGGATGGATAGATAAATGGGTACATGAGTGAATGGACGGATGAGTAGATGGAGGTGTGGATGAGTGAGCGGCTGGATGGTTGAATGTATAAAGTGATAATTATTCCATTTAAAAAACAGTAATGATATATATTGCCTTAACAGGAAGAGAAGCAAAATTCCAACTGAATGGAATCCACGAGCTTAGATTTTGTGATTCCCAAGTTCTAGAGAGGAAAAAAAGGACTATTGCTTTATTTTGGACAGTGTTAGAAAAACCTCGGTTCCATCTGACAGGTTGCATAGTTTCTTCTCGGTGGGAGAAGTCAAGTCAAGTCAGAAAGCCTTAGTGGGCCCATGAGCCCCTTTACACATGTGGCTGTGGTCGCAGGGCTTTAACAACGTTGGATCACAGCTTGTCTGAACTCGTCATCTCAACTCTGCTGTCTGTCTTGAGAACAGCTGAGTTCACTGTTCCCACTCTCTCACCCTCACATTATTCGAGCAGCTAATATCTGCTAGGAAGTCGGTAGGGAGACAAGGAGGACTCGAGGGGTTTAGAAGACTCTGAGCAAACAGAGCTCCCTTAGAGGCATGTGGTCTACAATCTGTGTCACCTAGGCTGTGGCCTTCTAAAGAACCATACCCATGGGTGAGAATGTAATGCTTTGGATGCGAAATGCAGATATAAAAATGTAAATTCAATGTGATATGTGTCCCTGATGAATGAAATAAAATTGCATCTTGGGATGGGGAGTCAACAAGAAGTTAGGGCTACCTATAGAAAATACAACCACTGGAATCTTCCTGAATATATATGTATATATACATATATACATATATATGCACACACATATATATATATGTACACACACACACATATATATGTGTGTGTGTGTGTGTGTGTGTGTGAGGTGAAGTCTAGGGGACAGGGGGACAGTCTGCATGCTGGAGAGTCAGTTCTCTCGTTCTACCATATGGGTCCCAGGAAACTTATGCTGTCCTATGAGTTAGGCACCGAGTGGGCAAGGAGCACCCAGTATGTGTGGGATGGGGCATTCGCTCTAGCCTGCAGTCAAGGAATCCAGCACATGGCTCACTCTCACTGAAAGAACCTGGAACTGTGCTGTTGGAGATACAGGAAGGACCACTCAGAGATGAGCACAACACCCTGGGGCTGTGGTTAGGAGCCAGGTAAAGAGGTAAGGCAGGTATGCTCAGGCAAAGCTACTTTGCTACACCCAGAATTTCACAAATCGTGAATGGGTCAATCACCCTTCCTGAGTCCCCAGGCAGATACCTCTGTGGTGGTTTGAAGGAAAATGACCCCATAGGCTCATATGTTTGGATGCTTGGTTCCCAATTGGTGGAACTGTTTGGGAAGGACTAGAAGGGGTGTCCTTGGGAAGAAGTGTGTCACTGGGGGTGAGGTTGAGGTTTCAAAGCTTAAGTCCAATCCCAGTTTGTGTGCTTTCTCTCCCCCAACTCCCTGTTTCTTGTCCCCCTTCCTGTGCTGTGTCAGATGTAAGCTCTCAGCCACTGCTCCAGTGCTGTGCCTGCCTGCTGGCTGCCATGCTCCGAACTGTGACGATCATGATAATGAACCCTCTAGAACTGAGAGCTCCCCAATTAAATGCTTTCTTTTATTAGTTGCCTTGGCTATGATGTTTTGTCACAGCAACAGAAAAGTAAGAAAGACAACTTCCAACTCCAAGGCTGAGAGTTTTAACCTGGCAATATGTTGCACTGGGATGAGACAGTTTGCTGACAAGAGTGGTGTGTACCCAGTTCAGAAACCATACCTGAGAAAGAGGCTTGGCCATAAGAATGTATCATGTGCCTTAACCTAAATGTGATGTGTAATGTTAGACAAGCCATGCCCACTCCCTTCTTGCTTGCAGTCTCAGCCCCACTCTCTCTCTCTTCCTGTCCCTCTCTTGAAGAGGCAGCTTCTGCCTCTCTCCCCACTTGTCTCCTTCTCCCCCCCTGCCTCTCTCTCTCTCCCCCTCCCCCTTTCCTTCCTTCTCCCTTCCCTTCCATAATCCCTAAATAAATGTCCATTTTGTTCTGTATGGTGTGTCTATCTCTATGTCTCCCACTCGCCGCCTATTGTCGTCACCAGGGACTAGCCACCTTCCCTGCCACGTGATCTCTGGGACTGGCTGCTTTCGGGTCCCCAGCAGTCCCGGAGACTCGCAGCATCTGTGCCTCCCATCCGTCACCTGCCCACACCACTCGCCAGGGACCAGCCAGCTGCCACATGACCGGGGACCAGCCACCTTTGTTTGGGGACCTGCCACGTGGTCTCGACCCCGCAGCAAGTCCATTTCATGATGGGTCCTAGGTGAATGTGCCATGTGCGCTTTACCTATATGGGACTGACCTCAAGTGAATCCAGACATCTTTTGACCAAGTGTGAGAGGGATGGAGTGGGGTAGGCAGATTTATCTGGAATCCAGACCTGTCCTTACAATGTCACCCGGTGTGAGGCGCAGAGTAAGCAGTGGCCCATGATGTCCCAGCCGTGCAGTGGGGTTTTAGGATGTTTCTAGGAGAAAACACTTCACAGAGTCTGGGAAGGGAACAAGGCAGGGATACTCTAGCTGAGCCCAGGCTAGATCAGACAAAGACAGATGGTAGGGGAGATCTGGCTCAGTCGGGGTTAGATTGCTGACCCGAGACACATGGGAAGGGTGAGGAGCCAGGACACGGCCGTTGTGTAGCAGTACTGAAGATGCAGGTGGAACTGGGGGAAGTAGAAGAGGTATGCTGTCACAGGCTACTTTGGAGGCAGAGTAGTAAGTGGCCTTGGAGGCCATAACCACAAGGCAGTACATAGGAAGCAGAGGGTGGGGCCCTCTCATGTTTCTGGGATGCTTTGTGTAATTGAGAGGCAACCGAAGAGCAGAGCAGGCTCAAAAAGAGGGAGAGGACCAAGAGCGCCGCGAAGCCACCTGGCCTGATGTGGCAGTCCCTTGGCTATTGGACTTAGATGCTGCTGAAGTGGTGGCCAAAGCTAAGGGAGGACCTGCCACTTTTAGACAGTGTCTGGTACTTGCGTGGTTATCTGATGTGTGTGTTTTCATTCAGAGCTGAATTATGAAAATCCATCGTGATGGCTCAGGGAGCACTCAGAGGGTTTTCTGGCCAGTTTTCCTGCCTAACTGGCTTCCTCTGGTTCATTTCACATTAGCACAGCCTGGGCAGCCAGCAGCTGCAGTGGAAGTAGGGAGGATGCAGCCCGTCCCTTTTCCAGCTGGAGCTCTTCGAAAGAGGGCTCTGTGGCTTCCAAAATGTACACTTCTGCCCCCTCCCCCCGGGGGGGGGCAGGGGAAAACTCCTAACTCTAGAGACTTATGACTTTTCTAATCACCAGTCTTCAACACGAATGGGTAAAGACAGAAAGATTTTGAACAAGACAATGATGAAGAAGTCTGGTCAAGGAATGACATCTGGTTTCCGTCAGGGAAACCAGAGTACATAGAGCAGAGGGGATATTGGGAAAAGATGTTGTCTGAGAAGTGAGGTGTCCCCTTTAAGGTCCAGACCCCTCACAGGGTTCACACATCCAGAGGCCCTGAGTGATGAGTGATCTAGCAGGAGTTCTCTTTTCATTAGAGCCGGTACAACCCTTGAAGTGACTGAGATCACTGCCTCTATTATAGACAGCAGGGAATCAAGGCACGGAAGCTAGTTACCCACTAAGAGCAGCAGAGGCGAAGGCAGAACCCTCTCTCCAACACGGGCTGTGAGCCCCTGTATCCCTCCTCTCCATTACTTCTGCTTCCCAGCAGGACAGTCAGCTGCCATTCTCAAGCCTCACCCCCCCCCATCTGGCTTTGCTGCCCTCCCTTTCCCCTCTCCCTCTCAGTGGCCCCTTCCCAGCCACCACCTTCCTGTCCCTGATAATCATTTACTTTCTGTTCCTCTGGCCCTGGATCTCCTAAGTACAAGCATTAAGAGAAGCCACCTCCCTCTTGGCTCCTGCTGAAGTTTTACATCTCAGCAAGGGCCTGGAGGCCAACACAGGTCACAGTGGGGGGTGCCTAGGAAATACTAACAAAGCAGAGAGTTCAGGGAAGCCCACAGGTGGGCAGGAGAGGCTGGGTTCTTCTCCAGGAAGAAGCCAGAGGAGCAGGGGCTACATTTTCCAAACACTCTAGAGTTGTCAGGGCGCTCAGCCTTATGCAACCTCCACATAAAGGTTTCCCAGAGAGCAGGCACAAAGGCAGAAGCCTGCATGTGTGTTTACAGCTCTGCAAAGGGCAGGCTGCCCAGTCTGGGAGAATGAGCTGGGCTGAAAAGCATTGCACTCGGCCCCCGAGTGCTGGCAAGCAGGATGCAGCCGAGCTCAAGCAGGTGGAAGACAAAGCCAGGGCCTGAATTGCACTTGTGCTGCCTGAACGTGGAGTCAGGAGAAGCTGAAGCCCCGCCCCAGCCTAGCTCGGAAGAACACTTAGCGACATAAGCATGCTTGCTGGTGCTCACTGCGTGTGACCCTGACACAGCTCTAACCTGTCATCGGGCGCTAGGGTTACACGTGCCTCTCTATGGCGCTGATCAGGAAACCAAGTATTTGAGGTGAAGGAGAGAAATGTGAATAATTAATTGTCAGGGAAAGCCTCTAGACTTCCCTGGAAAGGCAGAGATGCAGCTGCACCAGGATGTACGCCACCTTTATCGTATCTGTTGCTTGTCTTTTCTGAGGACCCACAGGGCACCTGCTTCATCAGGGCAGAATGCAGCAAAAGCAACACCACAAGGACTGTCCCAGGTAGTATGAGAGGCTCGAAGTTGCCACAGGGACAGGCCTGGCTTCCAATTAGCCCAAGTCTCTGAAAAAGGGAAGGAGGGGTCCTCCTGTG